AAACTCAAATTCGCCATATGTGCTTCTTTAAGATATAGTTTTTATTCATGTTCTTCAAAAAGAATTATTTTTGGTAAGCATACGCATAAATATAATACATTTCTCGTTCGTTCGTTCTTATATTTAAAGTTCACGTTTGATATTATTATATTCATTTGATCAGATTATTTAAATTAACTAGCTGCAAAGAATGTCGATAAAAATTTCGACGAATCGTTGAACTATCATATCGTAATAAAGTGACGCTTACGTATAACAACCTCCCTACCGTGTTAGCTCGAATTTATTAATTAATCTAATTAACTTAATTAAAAGCTGAGCCAAGACCGCTTGTAGGCGAGCAGAAAAAGAAAGAGAGAGAGAGAGAAAAAAATAGAAAGATACTTTGCAGAGAAATGTAAAAGAGGACGATTTATGCTTCCGGCATCCGGTACGATTTTCAGTGATCTTTCCAACGTCAGAATCCTCTTAGTTACTAATTACGAATAACGAAGCGACTGTCGGAAGAAGTCAAATAATTAATTCGAAGCAAAAAAGTCAACGCTGCGACGAGGAATTGACGGATAATATAATTCTCAATGTACCTACGCGAAAGAAATCTTTTTCAGTATCGTGTTATATTTTATCTCATCAGATAAGATGTAATACGATCGATTAAACCTACGTTTCCCGGGATTGTCGGGAAAAATCGTATTTCAGAGATCGACGAATAATCTCAAACGGAAGAAAAAAATTGAATAGGTAAAGATTTCCGAATTCGTTTTCGGTAATTTTACTTTATGTGTAATTAACCGTTTTCGAGGTAGCAAATATTCCCAGTTCGTATGAATTCAACGGTTAAAAGTCAACAATGGCTAGAATAGCTTTTCCCTGGTGCAACGATATTTCGCTTGCGGTAGACCAGAGTCACTATGTCTACTTCAGATCGTAATAATAGTCCACGTTAACAGGAGCACGCGAGATGTCTCGAGGGCCTGTGCTCAAGTTTGATGTATCGAATGATTAAAAACGCCCGCGATATGGAAATACGCCAACGTAGATGCATTGATATTATATCTATATTGAAAGATTGTAATAGGTACTTCCATATTTCTTCCCCTATTATGATTATAATCGTTTATATCAAAATCCTTTCATAATATAGATGAAAATTCTTTTGCTATCCGATATTGAATAAATGTTCATTACCTAATAATGTTTCAATATATGCGATTATATAGAAAACAATGAATAGCGGAAGGTAACGACACATAGATCAATTTGAAAAGATTGATTAAGTGCTTCGTTCTACATGCGTATACAATTCTAATAGGATCAATGAAATCTTGATACAATTTGAAAGCTTATTTTAAAAATATTCCTTCTCACATCTCATTGTTACGTTTTGCGAAATAGGAACATAGGTACATAGAACATCTGATGTACAAAACGAATAATGAAAAAGATAATAATATTAATGATAATAATAATAATATACTATACATACACACACGGGGGAATGAAATTACGCGAAAGCACGCAAAGTAATTTGCAGCTACGTTTTAATTTGGCACGGTTCGGGTGGTATGTTATACCGACGGGAAGAAGATGCAGAAGAAGAGTTGCGAGAGTTGGCGCAGCAGCATCGTTTCTGTCTTTCCTATTTTCAGAGTTCACACTTTTACACGAGGGCACACTGTTGTTTAATTGCATTTACAAGAGCTCGGGCTCGCACTAATATACATATTACTAGGCTGATTAAAGGCGGTCCGTCGAAACAGTGCACGCTCTGCGAATTTCTCGTGCACGGACAAATATGAAGAAGATATCTTCCGAAGCTCGAAAGCAATTTTCACGGTTAGATTCATTATTTTCGTACAATTCAAACGGCATCCTGCGAGATACGAATGAAAAATGAAGCAAACGTGGGCGGAAAATAATTTTATGGAAAAACCAAGACAAATATCAAGCTCTCTTTTATATCAAATATTGTGTGCAATTTTCAACGAAAATCTTCTCTGCAAAAATGAATGCGCTTAAAATAATATTCATTTTGTTTTTCTTTTCCTTATATATAT